TCACCCATCCCATCCAATGCAGGGCTTCTGCTCCACAGCCGGAGCCGTCCTCAGCCCCGTGGGGTGCAGCACCGACTCCCCTCAGCACTTACTTGCAGTATCACAGGGAAAGGGGAAGGGACGGTTCCCCCTCAGCCTCTTTTTGGAGCTGTAGTTGGTTCCAGTCCCAGGACCGGCTGAGACACCGGCAGCAGCCAAACTGAAGAGGTGGCAGCGGCCCCTCCTGTGGCTGACTGTTTCTCAGGCACTGTCCTGGTCTCTCCCTGGGGTGGTTGAGACATCAACCAAGGGACATCTGACTCTTCCCCTGCTGAATGGTGTCTTGGGGCCTGGTCCAGGCTTGTCCCTGACGTGGGGACACAGAGGGTGCTGCATGGTGGGGCTGCTCCTCGCCTTCAGCAGCACAAAACTCCGTGCTGCTACTGGCTGTGGAAACGTCAGTTAAATGGGGTGAGAGCACTCGGTAGGTAGTGATGCTGGGGCCTGGGCTGTGTGCTCTGCCATTCTCTTTGGGAGAGTTTTTTGGGGGGAGGCTGTGTTACAACCAGTGTAAATGTGGGTATGGTGAATATCCTACCCTGGTCTGGTGAAGTGGCAGCCCTGCTCAAAGCAGGGGCCTGGAACTGAATGGGCTTTAATGTCCCTTCCAACCAGTCTTTCTGTGATTCCCGCTCCCACCTGCTATGACCCCAGAGTCTCTGCAGTAGAATCACAGACTTGTTTGAGTTGGAAGGAACCTTTGGAGGCCATCTGGTGCCGCTCACCTGCAATGAACAGGGACACCCACAGCTCCACCAGGTGCTCAGAGCCCTGTCCTCTGACCCTGGGTGTCTGCAGGGATGGGGCACCCACCACTTCCCCTTGTCCTGCTCAAGAGCCTGTCCCAATCATTCTTACAGCCCCTTTAGATACTCTCTGGCCACTCTCAGCTCTCTCTGGAGCCTTCTCTTCTCCAACTGCACAGCCCCAGCTCTCAGCTTGTCTTCACAGGAGAGGTGTTCCATCCCTGGGAACATTTTTGTCCTCTGGATGTGCTCCAACAGCACCGTGTCTCTCTGGTACTGAGGACTCCACATCCAGACGCAGTGCTCCACGTGAGGTCTCACAGAGCAGAGCATAGGGACAGGATCACCTCCCTCCCCCTGCTGACCACTCTTGCTTCTGGTGCAGCCCAGAACACAGTTGGCTTTCTGGGCTGTGAGGGCACATAAGCGTAACATCCCACTTCTTTTTTGAAGATGTTAAGCTGTGTGGAAGGCCCTGAGAATCTGACCTGCGAAGCAAGGTGTTCAAAGCCAGAGCTTAAATAACCATCTCCTGATGGCTGCTGCCATTGTTCCGTGGGGATAATGGGAACAGGGGCAGCTGTGGTGGGGATGGGGAGCTCTGATTCATAATTTGTCAGCCCACGGTGTTTACAGTGCTTAGGGTGGGAAAAATACCTGTTCACAGAACCGATTCTCAGTAGGCTTTGCTTTCTACTTACTGCTATTGCTTAGTAACAGCTCTATTTTTAAATGCTAAGAGGGTATTAGAAAAAAAAAAAAAAAAGAATGTGCTGAAAGTTCCCTCCATCTCCAGCCTTGCTGGCATTAAACACTGTGAGATGCAGGTGCTGAGCTGTGACTGCCCCACAGTCACTGAACAGGGGCTGAGTTGGGGCAGAAATCAATAAAAAATCATCAAAAGCTGTGCCCCCATCTCTGAGAGCTCACAGCACTGACACAAACGGGTGGCACGGTTTGGCTTTCTTTTCTCACTTGCAACTCACTGACATCTTTAGGGGACGCGGATGTGCAGGGCCAGCGAGATCCCAGGGCTGCTGAACAGCTGGGTTTCTGCTAACAAGTCTCTAAGGACCTTTGCTATCATCACCTGTTGTTGTGCTTGTAGTAATCACGGTGTATCTGTGTATTCTCCTCATTTGTACAAGGGATGGGGCTCATGGTATTGAATACGTGCAACAGATCAATGGTTGGTTACATACCAAAGCAAGGCTGAGGGGTTTGGTAACTGCAAAGCCGCTCTGCTTGTTTGTGAGCTTCGCTGCTACTGCAGGAGGGCTCCAGTAAGGCAGCATCAGAGCAGGGCAGCGTGGTTTTAATCACTAATTTGGGGTGCAAGGTTCCGGAGGGGCTGGAGGGCACGAGGCAGGGCACAAGTGATGACTGCGTGCCGGTGCTGCAGCGCTCTGACACACAGTGCTGCAGGAAGCAGCTGCTGCAGCACAGGAGGAGCCAGGCTCACTTCTCTGCTCCGTGTGCTCCGGTGGAGGCACAGCGGGGATGGGGCGGCCTCAGCTGCCGTGGCCGCGGCCTGCAGGTGGGAGCCTTGGCGGCGCCGCTGTGCTGCATTCCCTGCATTAGCAGGGAGCTGGGGGCGACCTTCGTCTGCTCCTCACACGGGTGGATCTGGCAGGGAAGGTCATGCCTGAATTGTGGTCAAATTGGATGAAAGGGTGGATCGAAAAGTCAGCTGGAACGAGGTTTGAGGGAAATGTTTGAAGATTTTGTACTGGATCTACCTGTAGAGCTCAGCTCTCTCCAGGTGGGATTAAAGCAGGGCAGATGGGCACGGCCAGGATACCAGCACAGGCACGGGAAGCGTGGGGAGGGGACGGCTCACATCTGCTTGTCTGTGACCCAGCCCCATTCATTCGACATGCAGCACAAGTTTGCTTTCTACCTTACCTGTTACAATGTAATTTGTAGTTTTTATTTATTTATCATACAGTTGTTTGATTTGGAAAGGACTTTAAAAAGTCCAGCTAGTCCAACTCTCTTATTGACCTATTTTGCTGCAATTTGACCTATTTTGTTGCAAATCAGCCCTGCAGCGTGGCACAGGGGTGCAGACACCCAACATCACCCCAGCCCAACAGCCAACCAGGGCTTGGTCCCTCGGCACCCCTCACCCCTCTGTCGCTTTGCCCAGTGTCATTTTCCAAGGACTAAGAGACCTCAGACGTCTCAGACTTTTCCTTCAAACTGTCCAAAAGCAGATAAGCCCCGTCTGCCTGCTGGGTGCACTCCTGCACTGACGTGATGAGGGACGTGGGGATGGGGGCATGATGGTAATGTTGGCGATGGTGATAATGGTGATGATGGCAGTGGTGGGATCAGTGGTGTTGATGGCAGTGGCGGTGATGGTGGCGGTGACACGTTGATCTCTGGCCCAGGCAGGGCCACTGCTGCCTTGCCACACTCCCAGCTCTGCTGTTTCCCCAAGACTCCCCAGGATCTCTGCTGAGGACAACTCCTGTGGCAGCAGCTGTTGGTGCCAGAAACCACCCTCTGCCAGGTCTCTGCCACCTTGGCAGCACCACAATCTCCTCCCGTAGCCCGCTGGCCTCTGCCAGCCTTGCTTTGCTTCTAGGGTTACCTAAAATTCAGCCTCAATCCACACCACCGTGGCATACAACTCACCTGCTCTTCTCAGTCTTAAAATTAAAGCCTCTAGAAAAGGAGATGATTCAGGGAGCGTGGAAAAGGATGCTCAAGGGAACTTGGCACAGCCAGAGGGAAAAGTAGATTGGGAATTCTGTAGGGAAGGTTTGCAAAGCTATGCAGTGCTGTCATTTATTAAATGTAAGCAATTGTGTCCTGAGTAACTGCTGCTTCTCTATATATTTCAGGCTCTTTAGAAACGAGAAGAAATAATCTTATTTCAGCGTTATCAGCCTTAAGCCCACAGTAGTGACACTGGTAAACCCAGGTCTGCAGGATCTGCACAAGGAGCACATACCCATTTCTTGTTAAATTTGCTGAAGGAATGCAATTTTAACACTTGTATTTGCCAGAATATGAATGAAAAGAAACATCAAAGGCTGCTTCTCTTCTTTGATATACTTCCATGGAAGGAATGTTTTATCCCACCTTCCTGCTCAGCCCCAGGGTGCTGCAGGCAGGGCTCTGGCTGGTGCCTTCTGGCCAGCAGTGCTGGATGGGGAGATGCTAACAGTGGAGGCTCCTCCCAGATCCCTGCTGAAGTCAAACCATTCCACACCTACTGCTAAAAGGAAGAGGTGCAGGCAGGCAGAGCTTTCCCAGATCAGATCCCACCGTGGTGGTTACGGAGCAGCATGGGTGTCAGGTCGTCCCCTCTGAAGGACGTGGGGCACTCGGTGCTGGGATGACCCCTGTGGTCCTCAAACTGCTCCTGCTGAACTCTGCAAGGGGATGCGGCAGTGCTGGGGGGCACAGAGTGAGGAGACCCTTTGCTGCCCAGGAGGGAGTCCTGCAGCACCCGCCTGGCCCAGCACAGAACCAGCGGAGGTTCAAGTTGGATATCAGAGGAAATCTCTTCCAAAGAGCAGCCAGCACTGAGCAGCTGCCCGAGGGGGTTGGGGTCACCGTCCCTGGGGTGTTCAGAGCCGTGGGGGTGCGGCACTGTAGGATGTGGTTAGCGAGCACGGTGGGATGGGTTGGAATCGAGCTCTTTTCCAACCATGATGATTCTGTGGTTCTTAGGGGATGGGGAGAGGCGGCTGGAGCGCGATGCACCGGGTGCCGCCTCTGCTTGGGAGAATTCAGCGCGTTTGAAGGACTGCTTGTTGGAACACCTGAGGATCTGCAGGCAGCTCATGTCTGATGGAGCAGCGTTCCGACCCACCCCAGCGGGCCGGCAGCGACGCGCGGCTCCGACACGCGCGCGTCGTGCTGCGCTCCCGCGGGGACTTGGCTGCTCCCGGGGGCGGCGGACGGCCCCGACCTGCGGCAGGGCGCACACGCACGGTCTTTACATCACCCCCGCTATTTTAGCCCGTCACGGCGCAGTCCGGCGGGGCGATGCCGAGCTACGTCGCCGCGCCGCTCCGCATCTCCGCACCGCTCCGCGGGGTGGGCGCGGCCGCGCACGCCCCCGCCGCCAGAAGCCGCTCCGCCCCTTGCGCCGCCACCGCGGAGCGCAGCGCGGTCGCGCACCGGGACCCGCCCCAGCGCCGCCGCCTTTGTGCCCGGCGCCGCCCCACGGAGGAGGCGGATCCTGCGCGGCGGGGCCGGCGGGCGGCGAGCCCCGGGCGCGGGCAGCCCTCGGCGGCGCCCCCGCAGGCTCCGCGCCCCCGGACCGCGGCGTGGAACGCGCGCTCCCGGCTGCGGCTGTGAGTATCGGGGCGAGGAGCGGAGGGGATGCGGGCGGGAACGGGAGCGCGCGGCGGAGTCCCGCGGGGGGCGGTGGGCGGTGGGCGGTGGGCACGGCCCCGCCGCCTCTCGGACCCCATTGCTTTGCGGTGCGGGTTTCGTAGCCGTCCCCCAGAGCTGCCGGCAGCGAGCTTGGCACGGCTCCTGGAAAATTCCGTGCCCTTGGCAGTTGCCGCACCTCGCTCCCGAAGCGTCGGGGGGACGTGGCGAGGCGCAGCGGTGCCTCCGAGGCACCTTTCGGTACCGTTCCAGAAAGCGTTTCCTATTCCCGCGTGGCTCCGACGCGACCGTCTGTTCCCCTGCGCGATCCCGCTGTTGGTGGGAGGACGGCGGTGCTGGAAGTTCCAGCGGGGACCTCGGGACAACGGGAACGAGCTCGGAGCCGCTCCCGCGGGTTTCGGGGACCCTGCGGGCGCACGGCTGCGGGCACGGCGTGCTCCGGGCAGCGCCGGACTGGGAAAAGGTGATGGCGGTGGTGGAAGCGCTGCTGGAAGTTCTCGATTGCGGGGAAATCAAGATGATGGGTGTCCGGGCGTTTCAGAACGCTCTGGCTCCGTCCAAACCCCTTCGTTTTGCTTCCATGCACCTGCGAATTTCGGCTAAACCCCAGCCACGTGCGCCCTTCGTTTAACCCCAGCTGCTGTGAGTAAAGACCACGGTTAGGACTGGGTGAGAAACGAAGCGTTTCCCTCCCCGGCGCCTTCGCCGCGCTCGGGGCGTGCAGGGATGCTCGCCATGGCAACCCGCGCATCGCTCCGGAGCGGGGCTGTTAGGCACGGCCTGCTGCAAGGAGCGCTGCTGCTGCTTCGGTTCTGAGCTGTGCGCTCCGTGCTGGCATTTATCTATTCACGCAGTCCCAGTGACCAAAGCTTTCCTCATTTTCCAGCAGTTTGTACTTTAAAAACTGCGTTAATGCTGGCTTGATGTCTCCATGAACCTGAACCTGTGCAGGTGATTGATGCGTCCTTCTGGTTTTCAGTATTGTTTCTTTTTAGAGATGCTTTCCTGACTTCTTCTTTTTTTTTTTTCTTTCTTTTTTTTTTTTCTTTTTCTTGTCTTAATGAACACTACAAAGAACAGTGGCTGTGTGTGAAGCCAGCTCCTGCAGCTCCTTGGGGCAGAGGTGTCCAAACGGTCACAGCTAGGGCTGCTGTGTGGCTGCTGTGCTGGCTGTGGGTGCTTGTGTGGCATTGCAGGTGGATGCCCCAGGGAGGGACTGTGGGAGCTCCTGGGCAAAGGCCTGGACCCTCGGTCCTGTGGGATCTTAGACATGTTCCTCAACCTCTGAATTCAGAAATGGTTAGTGGTGGTAGTTGCTTATAGCAGGGTTTGAATGGAAGGTTGGCTGCCTCATGCTGTGCCAGGTGTGGGTCAGCTTGGATATATGAGAAATCTCTTCTCCAAAGAGCGCTCGGCACCGCACAGCTCCCAAGGATGGGGGTCACATCCCCGGGGGTGTTCAGAGCTGTGGCACAGAGGGATGTAGGGGTGGGCTGGAAGGGGCTTGGGGATCTTTGTGGGCTTTTCCAACCTCAATGATTCCATGATTAGGTCGTCCCTGGGAAATTTCATGCTGTTAAAGTCACAAAGCTTCAGATTAATGAGCAATGAGTGCCCCGAAGTATTTGCATCTGTGCAGAGCTGCACTGCTCTCAGACGTACCAGCGATGCACCATGCAGCACAGGAGGTGACTTCCTCACAAACCCAGAGAATGGAGGGTGAGGGCATTGCTGTGTGGGGCAGCCCCAGAGCTGTGGGGCAGCAGGGGGTGGCAAAGCACCCAGCAATGAGGCGCAGGGCTGCATCAGCCCCATCCGGGCATCCACAGCAACAGCAGCGCAGTGGGGACTGTCCCATGTGCAGCATCATCGGTGGCCATGGGAGATGTGAGCCGAGCACCCAACTGCTGTACCAAGCCCTATTTAAGGATTTGCAAGAGCCACCGTGTGTCTTTGGTTTTCATCTCAGCTCTCTCTAATTTTAGCATGGTTTCCGTAGGCTTTAATTTGCCGGCACGGCAGATTGCATCAAATCCTAGCACAAGTCCTTCAGAACTGTGAGCTTCTTGTCAGAGCTGGCTTTTATTTATTTTATTTTTTTCTTTTTCCCTGGGAATGCAGCAATTTGTTGATAGCAGATAAATCCTGCATGTTCTGCTGTGCATCTTCATGATACCTGCCTTGGAGCAGATCGAAAGCAATATTCAGCTATGGGAGCTCTGGCTGAATGGAATGAAATGCTGTTTTCTTCCAATGTTTTGCTGGGGGAGAAGAAATGGAAATGAGAACTGGTGCAAAGAAATCCAAGAATGTGAATTTGTTGCTTGAACAGCACAGGAGATGGGGTGATGGGCAGGAAGAACCGCACTGTTAGCTGGATGAGGTGCAGGTTATTCAGGTGCACTGTCTGGCTGCTCCTTCAGTGATGTGCTTGGGATGCAAAGATGTGCTCCTGAAACCTTTCATACTTATTGCTGAAGTTGGATGCTGGTGAGATGCAGAATGCTCTATAAATAGAGCAGTCAGTGGCAATAGGTTGCAGGTTCTTCCTCCCCTTTTCCTTCCTCCCTTCCTCCCCTTTTCCTTCCTCCCTTCCTCCCCTTTTCCTTCCCCCCCTTTTCACACAGGCTGCAGGATCCCTCAGATCTCAGTCCCTCCTTCTTGCTCCTCCCATGTCACTTTGTCCTCAAATATAAAAACCCCATTCTGACGCCATCTGTTTTGTTCCCAGCACCAAGCTGCCATCTTCCCATTGCTGATCTCTGTGTGGTACCTCCAGGGGCTGCCCTCCATCCCCACGGGCTTTTGGCCAGGCACACAGGTGCAGCCCAGCACCTTCCCCTTGGTGCCTCCTCCTCCTCTCTGTGTGGTGACCAGCTCTTGTGCCCTCAGCTTAGCTTTGCCTTGGCTGTGAGCTCTGCTGATCCATGGTGCGTGTGTCAGGCATCCCCACCTCCTGGCACACGAAAGCCTTAGCTGTTGTTACAATAAAAATTCCGAAATTTCAAAGCCTGAGTACTAAATTGGTAGCTTTCAGCAGTTCTCTAATTATGTGAGACATTTTTCATGCTTAACAAATGGTTCTTATTCTTGCCAGCACTTCAACCTGGTGTTCTAGGACTTGTGGGTGTGAGGGAACAGAACATATTTCTGTGTCTGTGAATATGATCCCACACGTTGTCTTAAGTGGGAAAATGTTCACAGCCCTTATATGGCGAGGGATTTTTTTCTAAGCCCATCAATGCCTTCTGCAACAGCAACGCAGTTCTGTCCTCAGTGCTGTGCAGGCTGGGTGCTGCTGGTGAATTCAAGATACCGAGTGCCCCGTCCTTCTTCACAGAACCACCAATGGCCTGGGTCTGATGAGGCCTCAAAGGTTGTTCAGTTCCAACAAGCTGCCTCGGGCATTGGGCTGCCCAGAGCCCCATCCAGCCTGGTTTTGGACACCTCCAGGGATGGGGCGGTCCATTGTTCCCATGGTGTAACCTGCTCTGTGGTCTTACAGCCCACACAGAAAGTGTTGTTGGGGATGGTTGGTGCTTCCTGGCCAACAGAGAAGGGCGGAAGGGTGCAGCACGTGTTCACCTGGCACTGTGTGCCCCACCGTGCCCTTCCTGGTGCTGGGATGTCGGTGTGGCAGCACAGTGATGCACATCTAGGGTGTGCCAGGGGGTCTGTGGCCTTGTGTCTGTAATATCAGCGGCTATCTGAGTGCCATGGGATGTTCTGCATGGATGCTGCAGGCAGAATGATGACAAACTCAAGCAAAAAAAGAAGGGATGATGAGTTCTTCAGGAAGGTGGAAGAACAGAGTTATCTTCAAAGGGATTTTGGGGGGAAAAACATATTTTTGCTTTCTGCATTCCTACCCGGTGGTGAAACATCCCCCAAAACGTTTTTCGAAGTAATGGTGTGGCTGTGGCTGTGGCTGTGGCTACAGGGAGGAGTTGGCTTCTGCCCTGCTGGCTGCAGGGGGAGCTGGGGCTGGGTGAGAAGGAAGGGCATGGCCCACATGGGGGTCTGCAGCTCCGCGTCCTCACAGTGCCCTACAGACAGTGCGTGGGGCCAGCCCCAAAGGTCGGTTCTGTGGGTCTGGGTGCCACAGACGTGCCATGGGTGATGGATGGATGGATGGATGGATGGATGGATGGATGGATGCATTTGTTGTCTCATAGATCAGAGTTGTGGTGCTGTGCACACTCGTTGCAGCAGAGGTAGTCAGGGTCAATATTAACAACGTTCCAAGGTTTAGCGGTTTCTTGACAGAGCTTCACCAGAGCAAATGGCTCAGCAACACAGGCAGATGCTTTGCGTTGGGGATGGGCTTTGTGTATCAAAACGAGTGGGTTGGGGATGCCATCAGTCTGCAATTCCTGGTACCTCGTTGGTGTGACAGCTGCAGGTCCTCCTCCTGCCTTCAGATGGGAAGGAGCTGGGAATTTTGAGGTGGAACTTAATGCTGATGTTTTCACACAACTGTTTCTCCCACTTGTGCTGCTGCGGGCTGCCCAGGGGGTGCTTGAGTCACCATGCCTGGGTGCATTCAAAAACCGTTTGGATGTGGTGCTCAGGGCCTGATGTAGTGGAGGGCTGTGAGGGTAGAAGGGTTGGGTTGTGGCTGATGTCCACGATCTTTAAGGTCTTTTCCAACCCGAGCGATTCTGTGATACTTAACAGAGTAACAATTTGTAGGAGAGGTGCAAGCAAATAGATACGTTGTATTTGCAGCCGCACAGTGATGGGGTGAGCTAAGGGCTGGGGCTGTGCTCTGTGAACCCAGTGCACAACGTCTGCTCGTATTCTCCTTGGAGGATGAAGCGACAGCCACAGCGGGCCGTGGGCTGAGCCGGGGCAGGGCTCACTGGGTGCAGTGCCCTGCTGGGAGCCGTGGAGCTGAGAGCAGTGAGCTCCAACGTGCAGCTCCTGTCCGCTTTCCCATCCCTGCTGCTCTCCAAACATG